AAAAAAAAAAAAAAAAAAAAAAAAAAAATTGAGAATTGAAAGTTGTGTGCTTGTTTTGAGCAATTCTCGATTCGCGGTAACAATGCAGGGTTGTAGTAGAGGAATGTCGGGCCACCATCAAGTATCGAATCTGTATTCTAAATTTCGGAGATGTTGCACTTATCAAACATCAATAAAATTCACTGTAACACCCCATGTCGAAGATTCAGATTCAAGAAATTGAAGGTACAGTTCGTTGGTATAGGTAGTTACTTTCATTTTCTTTACGTTTTTCTTAGTCATCTTGTTCGCATGGTCGCTCTCATTAAGATGGTATGAGCTCCTTTTGTATCGATTATTTACTCGGTACTTTAATTATTTTATAAATAATTGAATTTCTAATCAAATTCTTTATTAAAAATATTATTCCATTTTTAGTTAATTTTAAAATAACACTTTTGAATTTTTTATCACTAGTATTTAAAAAAAAATATATATATATTTTTTATTTATTGAAAATATTCATAATTACAATATTATGATTTTGGGTATTTTTCACGGACATTCCATGCTCTTTTTCTGCCTCTATTTTAAATTCAATACACCGATCGCATAAAATATCTCCCGAATCTCCGGTAGGCAGAGCCGCCGTGGGAAACGCCGTCGACGACATCGGAACCGGCCTTCTTCTTCCCAGTTCAGCCGATCCCTCAAGAACTCCGAAAGATCCCTTCAATTTGACTTACATAACTTACACTTCATATTAGGCGCTGGATGCCTTCTTCCATGGACGACCTTCATAACAGCCATCGATTACTTTACCCAAATCAATCGAATCTTCTCTGTCGCTTACATGCCAATTGTCGTCGCCGGCGTTGCCACCGTCGTTCTCTTTGGCCGGCGGCGTGATGTTCGGGTCCGAATCAACGTGGGCTTGAGCCTCTTTGTGCTCTCTTTGCTTTTGGTGCCTCTTTTAGAAGTGTTCTACATTAGGGGTCGGGTCGGGTTTTTCAACGGCTTCTATGCCACCGTCGGAGCCGTCATGTTGTGCGGTGTTGCCGGCGCACTTGTGCTAAGCGGCGCCGTTGGATCCTCCGGTAAACTGCCGGAGAGGTTTGTGCAAGCCGTCGTCTCTGGTAAAGTGTTTTATTCTGATTCCTCGGTGATTAGAAATTTAGTTTATATTTATAAGTATAATAAATTTCTAAAACAAACTCAAATTAACAAAATAATAATTTCATTATTTAAATAGGATTATAATTCTTGTTTAAAATATTTCGCCCATATTAATTCATTTTTATTTTTGTTATATTTCATCGATATCAAGAGATTGAATATAAGATCAATTTTCTTTAGTACAATCGAAAAATTACATTTTAGGTTAAATTTTAAACCATCTCTCAAAACTTTTAAAATTTTCACTTTAAATTTGAAGTTTATTTCAATATAACTTTGATAGTCGGGATAGAAAAGCTGATTATATGAACAAGTCTAAACGAGGAAAAAAAAAAAAATTACTGAGTCGTATTTGTTGTCGTGGTTCTCCTTTTAACCCTAATTCTAACTTCAAATTTACTTTCGATATGTGTTTAGATTTGTTCGGTTCAGAGGTTTGGAAGGATTGGTTCACATTCCCGGATGTTGGTTCAGAGGCTTTGAATGATTGGTTCAGAGGCTTTGAAGGACTCAGCGCTATCTATTTGGCTGCTGTCGCCATGATCTCCGCGCCCAAATTGGTGCCATTTCGACATGCACAGGTTGCTGGGATTTTGATGTCTTAGTTCTTGGTTTCACGTCTGGCTATTGCCTCTGTTCTTGCTTGGTTTTGGGTCATTAAAACAGAATGAAAGAGTTCTTAATGTACTTTCTTTTAAAACAGCTGCGGCTCAAACTGCACAAAAGATTTGCTTCCAGTTTTTCAGATGGGCACATAAACAATATACAGAAGTTGCTGCTTTCCTCTTCAAAATTTCAAAACGAAGCATCTTAAAGAGCCAAGACTGAACTAAAAATGGCTGATTCAAATTTCTTTCCTTTTTTTAAGCTACACAAGTGCAAGCTCTAATGAGACGAAGTTTCAAGTACTAGAAAGAATGAACCTAACGCATACAGTGCGATGCGATCCGTTTTACCCTCTAAGGAAATGGCCTGAAAGTTCAGAGCCGTGGAAAATATTGGTATAGGGAAAGCACCAATGACAGTCGAGACACATTTTGAAAACTAAACTACAAACTCATGCTTTTGTTCTGAAAGCTAGACCAGTTTCTACCTTTTTTATTTCGAAGATCAGCATTCTCCACATCTTCAGAACAAACATTTCAGCTTCTTCATCCAAAATTGACTGAAGCAGCTCCAGCATTTGGGATGCCTTTACGTGTTCCTGAGTACTTGAAACAATGTAATCGACGAGAGTAGTTTCCTCCTCCCCTAAAAACTCTGTTATCTTTTTTGAAATCCAGGGTCTCATTCTCTCGTGTAGTGCATGCTGCAGAAAACGAGCGTAATGTTGTGTTAAATTTACAGAAAATGTTACCTATATATAAACTAAGAAAAAGAAAATCATTCATGAGACATGGTACCTTTTCGTAAATAGTCCAGTTTATGTCATATGAGAATAACTCCTCCTTCGTCTTTGGGATCATATCGATCAACTGTTTTGCGTCCAAAAGCTTTTTGTTATCAGGTATTTTTACTTTATCCAAAACAGGCTCTCGCTCCCTGTCTCTGTCTATTGTCTTGTTCTCATCTTTGCTGCGATAGGCCTCCTCATCATTTCGGTCTCTATCTCGACTAGACTTTTCATTGGAACGCCTTCCTCGCTCCCGTTCACTGTCAGGCTTCTCCTCTTTGGAATTAACATTTGATATACGTTTTGCAAATTCCGCTGCTGCAGCTAAATTTGGCGGCAAAGCCCCAGTACTGGCAGGTTGCACAGCCTGGAGTTCCTCAGCTGAGTAATCAATTGGAACCAGTGGCCTCATCTTCTTCTCTTTCTGTGCTTCATCATCCTCCTCATGAAAGACGGAAGGTACAGCAGTCCGTTTTCCAGATCCCACTAAACCAAATCCTAATCTTTTCGCAGGCAAGCCTCCACTCTGTCGAGTCGTATTTAATTCATCACCGCTACCATTTTGTAAGATCCCATCCCCTGTCACATACCAGATAGGTCATCAAAATAATAGAAAACAAGAGCACAGGGTAATAGAACATGCGAGTAGAAAAGAAGACTTCTCACAGTTGACATGTTACCTGTATAGTTATCGCAGCTACAATCAAGCTCAGGATCACGTTCAGAATCCATAACCTCAACCTCATTAGCGGATTCTTCAGCAAGAACAGTTTTCTCATCAACACTCGTCATCTGACCAGATTGAGTGTTCAGTAGATCTTTCTGTTTCAGCTGCTGTTCCTCCTCAGCCTTCCTCTTGGCCTCAGCAATTTCTTCTTCCTCTTTCTGTCTATCTACCGAATCATCTTCCTTTTCTCTAGACCTCTTCTTCCTCTTTTCCTCGAGAGCACCTCGCCGCCATTTTCTTCTAGAATCATCATCCTCATCATCTTCATCATACAATATCTCCTTCTTCCTTTTACGCTCTTTCTCTTTCTCCCTCTCCTTCTCATACTGTCTTTGCTTTTCTCTCTCTCTTTCTCGATATTCCCATTCTTTAAGACATTCTTCATACTGTCGCTCAGACTCCTCAAACTTTCTTCTTTGTTCCCTCTCTTTCCTAGCTCGCTCCCGCTCTGTCTCTCTTTCATATCTCTCAATTTCCCGCTCCTTGTCCCTTTTCAGATCCCTCTCCCTGTCTCGTTCTCGACTTCTCCTGTCATACCTTCTACTTCTGTCAGGTGAGCTTGTTTCAGGCTTGTCATGCTCACTAGTTAGTTTATTGTCACTAGTCGTGTCATCATCATTTCTATCCTCAGCTGCATCTGTAGGAGGTAACGACAATTAAGCAACCCAATACTTGCACACTCAAAAATTTGGAAAGAAACGTAAACTATTTGTAATAAACTAAAGACCACGCTATAAACATTGTATATCTATTGTGAATGCTTATTTTCGTGTGACAAAGAGAAGATTAACAACCAACTTACAAACACTCACCACTTCTCAAAATATCAGAGTCAGCTTCACCATCTTTCATTTTAACAGATGGTTCTGCACTTGAATTACCAGAGACATCAGTGGCTGTCAGTAGAGGAGGTGGTGGCAGAGGTCTAGACTTCAACCTCTCCTCCAGTGCATTTGTAAGTTTTTCCGATACCGCTCGATCAGCATCTCTATCTTCATCACTTAAAACTGCAGAACAGGCAATGTAATGATCTTCTTTTTCCCCTGAATCCTGATCCTCCTTTGAATCCTCTGCAGGGGGCTTTGAAGTTTCATTTTTAGCCACATTTGCTGTGTCGGATTCTTCGACCTTAGTCTCTGAAAGTTGTGTTTCTTCCTGTTTCTTTGAGTTCTCAGCTTTCTTCTCAACATAACGCTTA